TCATGAGAAAAATGTTCATTCACGTCATGTATGTATTTCTTTAATATGTGTATTTGCTTCTGATTACTTTTAAGTAATCCTACAATTTTTTGAATTCTATTTCTAACATTTCTTCAATCTCTTCATTTTCACAGTCTAGTATTGGAGTGTTGTTGTGTCCCTTTGGAGGCATCATGTTGTCTCCCTTATTCTTGTTTTTTGAGTTATTGTGTTTATTTTTGGACATTTGTGGAGACAAGTGTTATTGTGTTTTTTTTTCCCCTGTGATGGGTTTTATCTTTGGACTATGCATCTGTGGATTAGTAGAGTGTCTGCTCTTTCAGTGAATACCTTAGGTGTGTGCTGGGTGTGGCCAGGGAGCTCTGTTCAGGGCACCAGGGTGAGGGGAGTGTCCAAGGTGACACCCAAATTGGGCGTGGTAAATATCTCTCTCTCTCTCTCTCTTTATCAGAGGGGAGGGTTAATTTGCTCTGTTGGTGTAGTCTCACACTCAACTCCTCTCCTCTGAGGAGACCAATGCCTGGCCACTAGCCCCAGTGGGTATAATATTCATTCTCACCAAGAACCACACAAAGGATATGTGTAGTCCTCATTTTGAGCATGGGTCCCACAGCAATGACCCTCATCAGGGAATCAGGGAGCCCCAAGCATGTGGAGCCACTTGCAGTAACTACCCAAAGACGCAGCCACCCTCTGTGCCCTCAGCCACCATGTTTTCACAGTCCCAGCACACAAGGCTCCCACAGTCATGAGCACTCAGCACCCTGTCAATTCTCTCAGCTCGACTCCGGCGTCTCCACTCTGCTGGTTGCTAGGCACATGGACATGAGCTGGCACAGCTGTTATGTATATCCAAATTGGCACCCACTCTCTCTTGGCTAGTTACAGGATGCTAGTGCCGGGTGATCAGGGAGAGGGGAACGTGCCCTGCTTTTTTTTCTCTGGGTTGGCAGGTACACTGTCCCCCACAGGTCTCCAAGCCGTACTCACATCAGTTTCTTTCCATAAATTTATCACCAGTGGCTTGGGCTGCTGCAGTCTGGTCTCACCTCAGTCTCCAAAGCTGGTGCTGAGGCTCTCGGCGGCTGGGGTCCTGAGTTGTGCGCATCTACACCCTCCACTTACATCCACAGCGCTCCTCAAATTTGCATGGATTTTCCTCGGCTGTTTTATCCCTAATTCTTCCCTGAGATTGGACTTTCTCCAGGTTTTTTTAAACTATTCTCCCCTAGACTAGAGCAATCAACTCCCTTCCTGTTCTGTCATCTTGGTGTCTCCTACAACTGTGTTCAATAAAAATTTTTTTAATGAATTGGCTGGACATGCACCTTACCAGTTGACAGCCATGTCCCATGGAGGAGTACCTGGGTTCAATACCTGATTCTGACTCTGGATTCCAGTTTCCCGCTAATGCACACCCCTAGGAGGGAGTGGTGATGGCTCAAGCAGTTGGAATCTTGCCACTCATACATGAGGCTTGGATTGAGTTTTCATTTCTTGGCTTCTAGCTTCAGCCCAGTGGCTGCAGGCATTTGAGAAGTGTCTCTGTGAATCTCTTAAATAAATAAGCATTTAAAAAAATTAAACACAATAAAGATCCCAATAAATATACAGATGAGTATCTTTATTACAGAAAAATGTATCTTAAATTATCCCATGATGCCAAAATCAAAGTCTGTGTTTCCATCTCAAAGTGGCTGTATTGTGAAAACAAAACAATGTTACATGGGAAGTAACCCACAAGAATTTCCAGCTTGGAAGGAGCAGCTTTTAGAATGACCCCATGCTGCTATCTGAGCTGTACCTTCCCTTGGGTCTTCTTCCTTTGTATCCAGTGCCATGTCCGTGGCTCTTCCCACTTATGTGCAGCAGACTTCCTGTAATTCCAGCTCACGCAACTCAAATTCGAAGCCTTTGTCTATGTTCCCCTTAACTCAGCTAAGACCGATATACTTTCACAGGGAATTTTTCTAAATATAAGAGGAAGGAAAAAATGAAAGAAGGAAGGAAGGAAGGAGGGAATGAGGGGAAGAAAGGATAGATGTTTGTTTTTAATGCAAAATGCAGGAAGTCAATGAAAGACAGATTTAATCTTACACTGGGGCATTATCCCACCAAATTAATAATTCCAGGTTCTGGTCCCTAACTTCTATGAGAATCTAATGCTAGGAATACAATTCCTATTTCTAGGCTCTTATCCCTACGATTCCTTTTCCTACTTCCCTCCTTTTGTTCGGAAACAACTCTCCATGTATCTCTTGCATTTCTGTATTACTGTGTACAGAAGCATTGTAAGACTGACTTTGTAAGGATGTTTGTGTAGTGAACAACCTCAAAAGGTAGAAAGATATCTATCCTTTGGACTAACAGCAGATGTACACATTGTATATTATAGAAATTTAGATGCCCTAAACTCAGTGTTCCATTCCTGTGACGACCTATCCGCGCGAGTGTCAGCTGGCCCTCTGTTACTCTGTGTGACTGGCGTTCAGGGAACTGGTGTGTAATGTGATTGCTCCTACTATTGAGTAATAAATAGTTATTGTCTTTGATCAGGTGTTTCAAGTCTTCTCCCAACATTATGATAATGTGTTAGTTTATAAGTAGGATCAACACACACTGGTGTTGTGCTGTAGTGGCATAAACCACTGCCGGAGATACCGGCATCCCACATAGGGTGCTGGTTCAAGTCCCAGGTGCTCCACTCTTGATCCAGCTCCCTACTAATGCACATGTGAAAGTAGCAGATGTTGGCCCAAATCCCTGGGCTGCTACACCCATGTGGGAGATCCAGAAGAAGCTCCTGGCCTCTGCTTCCTGCCTCCTGGCTTCAGTTTGGCCCAGCCATGGCCATTGCAGCCACTTGGGGAGTGAAACCGCAGATAGGAAAAGTGAGCAGTAAAAATACTGGTGGACCAATCCTGATTAAGTAGTACAATGTCTTTATCTATGCCCCTATCAACCTAGAAGGAAACTATTTATATATCTGTTTTATCTATCCTGTAACTCTACTCGCTTCTAGATAGCAGGATTTATAATTTAGTCATATTAGTATGTTAGGTAAGTTGACAAAATTGATCCATATAATACAATAAAAAACATGACAAAGGACTATAAGGTACTTCAAAAAGTTGGTGGAAAGTGGAATTAAAAGACAAATTTATTTTAATGAAAAAACATTTTTAAATCAGTGTGTGCTCATATAAACTAGAAAAGAAAGTCAAGATCAGTTAAGGACAAGCTATATGTATAATTAATATTATAAGCCGAATATATAGCACTTAGTCCTTAGTTCAATATATTGATTGTAAATCATGTTAAATACGCATTTAAGGATCAAAGAAAAGCTGTCATCTCCCAGAAGTCCTGCAAACTTTGGCTTTCTTCTTTTAAGTACAAAGAAATTTTAAGGCATTTGGGAAAGTTAGCATGTCTAGTACCCCTTGAATGAATGTTAAAATTATGATAATTTGAGAAATGAAAAAGAACAAAATGACAATATAATAGCACCATATTGACAGTGTGGAAGGAACCATACCCATGAACATAGAAAAAAAATGAAACATTATAAAGGAATACTTTATACATAGGATCTTTTTTTAAAAAGATTTATTTATTTCACTTGAAAAAGTTACACAGAGAAGGAGAGACAGAGAGAGAGAGAGAGAGAGAGAGAGAGAGAGAGGTCTTCCATCCACTGGTTCACTCCCCAGATTGCTACAATGGCTGGAGATGTGCCGATCTGAAGCCAGGAGCCAGGAGCTACTTCCGGGTCTCCCACATGGGTGCAGAGGCCCAAGGACTTGGGCCTCCTCTACTGCTTTCCTAGGCCATAGCAGAGAGCTGGATCGGATGTGGAGCAGCCGGAACTTGAACCAGCACCCATATGGGATGCTGGCACTGCAAGCAGTGGCCTTACCCGCTACGCCACCATGCCGGCCCCTGTACGTAGGATCTTTAAAAATTCCTGGAAAATACATTGAAGAAACTATGCATGAATTTCAAAAATTTTTTGCACCAAAATGAATTCATTCCTACCAATTTGTTAATAACATACCTAATCTGGCTTGAGATACTAAAAAAGAAAAAAAACCATCAGTTTGAGGAGAGCCTATCAGAGCAATAGGAATCTGGTAAGATTGAAGAAGGAGAGCATCAAATTTATGGTGAAGCTTGGAGGGTAGAATGATGGAATCACTGATACTTAATGAAAATGTTATGGCAATTGATAACTGGGGATGGTGCTGTGGCACAGTGAGTTAAGCCACGGCTTACAGTCTCGGCATTCCATATGGGTGCCAGTTCGAGACCCTGCTGCTCCACTTCTGATCCCGCTTTCTGCTAATGTGCCTGGGAAAGCAGTGGAAGATGTCCGAAGTTCCTGGGACCCTGCCACCAACATGGGAGACTGGAAAAAGCTTTTGGCTGCTGGCTCCTGACTTTGGCCTGGCTTGGCTATGGCCGTTGCGGCCATTTGGTGTGTGAAATCAGTGGATGGAAGATCTCTCTCTGTCTTATTCTCTTTCTCTCTCTCTCTCTCTCTGTAACTCTGGCCTTTCAAGTAAACAAATCTTTAAAAAATTGATAATTCAGGGGCCAGCACTGTGGCACAGTAGGTTCATCCACTGCCTGCGATGCCAGCCTCCCATAGGGATGCTGGTTCTAGTCCTGGCTGCTCCTCTTCCGAGCCGGCTCTCTGGGAAAGCAGTAGAAGATGGCCCAAGCACTTGGGCCTCTGTGCCCATGTGGGATACTTGGAAGAAGCACTTGGCTCCCAGCTTCAAAGCAGCCCAGCTCTGGCCGTTGCAACCATTTGGGAAGTGAAGCAGCAATGGAAGACCTTCCTCTCTGTCTCCCTCTCGCTGTCTTTAACTCTACCTCTCAATGAAATAAATAAAATATTCTAAAAAATTGATAATTCATTTTAAAAAGGGATGAGATGATGTTGATAATGAAACCTTCAGCAGCTGCCCATCCATGTCACATTTCACCTTTTCCAGGCTGTAATTGATGAGGACTGATGACTGACAACAGAAAAACATCCAACCCCAAAGACATCTCAAGTGGTTAGGCTTCCACAGTGCCTACTGCAAAGTTACAGTTGGACAATCTTTCTGTTCAATGGATACCCAAAATGTTGCACCTAGATCTGTTATAGACAACAGTAGAGTTTTCAGTGGAAATTTTAAACAAGTGGGACCAAGATCTTGAAGCATTTCTTTGAAGAATTGTGATGGGAGATGAAACATGGCTTTACCAGCAGGATTCTGAAGACGAAGCACAGTAAGAGCAATGGCCACCATGAGGTGGAGGCAGTTGAGTAACATCAAAAGCAGACTCACCAAAAAGCAAATTGGGTCATGGCAGCACTTCTGTGGGATGCTCAAGGCATTTTGCTTACCAGCTTTCAGGATAGCCAAAGAATGAAAACATCTGCTTGCTGTGAGTTTTTGAGAGTTTAGCCAAAGCTTTAGCAGGAAAACACGAGGGAAGCTTTCCCAGGGAGTCCTTTTCCACCACAACAAAGCCCCTGCTAATTCCCGTTATCCAACCATGGCAACTTTGCAAGTTTTGATTGTAAATTGGACATTAACCTTACAGTCCTGATTTGGCTCCTTTTGATTTTTGTTTTTAACTTCAAGCTATCTTTAAAGAGCAGCCATTCTTTTTCAGTTAGTAATGTAAAAAAGATGACATTCACATACTTGAATTTCCAGAATCCCCAGTTCTTTAGGAATGGATTAAATGACTTGTATGATTGATTACAGAGGTGTCTTGCATTTGTGGAAAGTATGTTGAGAAATAAAGTTTGTATTTTTACTTTTCATTCCATTTTCCACAAACTTTTTGAAGTCCCTTTGTATACTTACACTGCTTTGCAATGTGGGTGTAATAACCGATGATCTTTTGGGAAAATATAAATGGAGAAAATAATCTTAGCAATAAAAAAAAGAGAAATGGATCAGGAACTGGAAAATTTTGAGAAAATAGTCAAAGATCTCTTTCACAAAAGCACCACTTTTAAGTTGTGTCAAGGGTGAGTTTCTGTAAAGTTTCAAAGAACCATATAAATGGTCTCTGAGAATAGACAAAGATGGAACAGTTCTCCATTCTTTGTTAAAAACACAGCTTTGATCCCAAAGTCTGACACAATTTAAAACACAATTTAAAAATACAGAATTTCAGAAATCTACAATACTAGTTTAGCTCTTATTCCCTATGCTTGATTCAAGGACATACAAATGTAAAGCAATTTCTCTAATTTAATTCACCCTTATAACTTAGGTTATTAAGAGTCAGTGAAACTCAGTATTTTTATCCCAAATTATAATTGAGGTTTTTGCCTTCCCCATACAAGACAGTCTAGCAACACTGAAGAAGCTGAAATGGAAAGAGGGCAAGGCCAACCATTTTATTTTCCTGTCTCTCTACCTATGACTGTTGGGTAGCTTTGACCTTCCTCTAGGACAACTCCTCCTCTCTCCTCTCCTCTTCTGATCTCTTTTATCTCATGTATGGGAACAGTGGTTTGCTAAAGTCAGCTCCTGCCAATTCGTTAGCTGGTTGTTGAATTCTCAACACTTTGGTGAGATGATTATTGAATATCCACTATTACAACTAAATTATGTAAACTAAAATTGCAATGCCATACTATATGGTGAATAAGTATTCTAGTATGCTACTGCACTCAATTCCACATTCGGTGATGTCACATTAGTAGCTTGAAATTGACCATGTTAGAATTTCCACAACAGAAATTGTCTAACACTACAAATCTGGGCTGGAGTTGTTGTTTGCCCAGATTTTAAAAAGTTGAGGAGCTGGCATCACGGCTTAGCACGTGGAGTCACTGCTTGTGCTGCTGGCATCTCATATGGGTGCCAATTTGTGTCCTGGCTGCTCCACTTCTGGTCTAGCTCCTTGCTAATGGCCTGGGAAAGGCAGCAGAGGATGGCCCAAGTGCTTGGGCCCCTGACACCCATGTGGGTGACCCAGTAAATCTCCTAGCTCCTGGCTTCAACCTGGCTCAGTGCTGGTTGTTGCAGTCACTTAGAGAATGAACCAGTGGATGTAAGATCTCTCTCTTTCCTCTGTTTCTCTCTCTTTCTCTGTAACTTTGACTTTCAAATGAATCTTTAAAAAAGAGAAAGTTGAGGGAGCCGGCATTGTGGCGTGGCAGTTTAAGATGCTTCTTGAGTTGTTGGCATGCTATATCTGGTTGGCCAGTTCGAGTCCTGGATCTTCTGCTTACAGCCTGGCTTCCTGCTAGTGTGCCTGGGAAGCAATAGAGTATGATTCAACTGATTGGGACATCACCACTCATGTGGGAGAACAAGATGGAGTTCCTGGCTCTTGGCTTCAGCACAGCACAGATCTGGCTGTTATGTTTACTTTGTGGAGTGAACCTGCAGACAGAGTATCCCTTCCCTTCCTTTCCCTTCCCTTACCTTCCCTTACCTTCCCTTACCTCCCCTCCCCTCCCCTCTCCTCCCTTCTCCCCCATTCTGCCTTGTGACAATACAAGAAGGTAGCTCTGTCTGCAAACCAGGAAGAATGCTCCCACCATACACTATCTTTCAGCACTTTCATCTTAGACTTCCTGTGTCTTGGAGTATGAGGAATGAATTCCTATCAGCCACCTAGTCTATGCTATTGATTATAACAGTCAAAACTAAGTAATAGAGGGGTCAAATGGATATTGAGTCAGTAATCAGGTTTGGGTCATTTTTCCACTACACCACCCAGATTGCTGACTGTCAGGCTAGGTGTCTTTGGCAAAAGGAATTAGCAGTGAGCTAGTTTATCTTTCACTTGACCCTTCTCATAAGGGTACAGTCCCATTCAGGGGCTATACCTGTATTACCTAATTACCCACTAAATGTTTCACCTCTAGATCCTGGGTAAATATGTGAGTTTTGTGAAAGGAATACAGGCATTAAGTCTTTACCTCCCTCCATCCACCTCCAGAAACTCCAACATCTTTGTCATACCAAACAGTGGGCTGCATTGTGCTCTGCTTGTACCCTCACTGCTGCCAAACTTCTTTTCAGATAGCTGGACATGGAGCACATTAGCACATGTACCATCTAACATATGTGCAACTGAGGAATGAGCTGTCAGTCTCCTTATTTTGCTGGCACTAGTATTTTAGAATAGTTTTGATTTATTTATTTTCATTTTATTTCAAAGGCATAGAGGCAGCAATAGACAGCCAGAGAGAGAGAGAGAATCCTCCATCCACTGGTTCACTCCCAAATGTCTGCAATAGTTAGGGCTTGACCAGGTCAGGGACTCCTTCTGGGTCTTTCATGTGGGTAGCTGGAATACAAGTACTTCATCATCTTCTGCCTTTCCAGAATATATATTAGTAGGAGGTTGGATCGGAAATGCAGGGGTTGAGACTCACACCGGGCACTCTAATATGGGATGTGGAAGTCCCAAGTGCATCTTAACTGCTGTGCCAAAGCCCACCCCTTGCTAGCACTAGTCTTTATAAAATATTCTTTGGAAATTCCTTCTTTAACTTTGTGGAGGAAGCAGCCCTGTCCCCATCCTTATTGAAAAGAGAGTAAATAACTACATATGACTGTAATTAGGTCAATTGCTTATAATACTGACATTTTTCTTTTTTCTTTCACCATGATTTCCTGTTATTTGGAGGCATAAGAGAATGTATAGCCCCAAATATTGGTGGATCTTTGTAGAACATGGGGTACTGGCTGTTTCTTTTTACTCAGCTGTGAAGTAAAACAGTCACTAGTCACCAATTTTAAGGCAACAGGATAAATACCACTTAAAAACATGGAGAGGCAGGTATTATGGTGCAGTAGGTTAAGCTGTAGCTCAAGACACCCGCATCCTATATTGTAGAGCCTAGGATACAGGCTCACTTCCACTTCTGGTCTGGCTTCCTGCTAATGCACTTGGGGGGCAGCAGATGATGGCCCACGGCCCAAGTACTTGAGTTCCTGCCGCCCATATGGGAGATCTTAATGGAATTCTTGGCCCCTGGCTTTTGCTTCGCCTAGCCCCAGCTACTTAAGGGAATTTAGAGGAATGAGCCAGCAGATGGAAGATATCTCTCTGTCTCTCCTCCTCTCTCTCTCAATCTACCTTTCCAATGAATAAACAAATAAATAAGAACTTTAAAAATTTGATCTAACATTATGTTAAATTAGTATTACTCTATTATGACTAAGTGAAGTAAATTTCAGAAAATTATCTTTACTGACCATTTAGTATGTCCCAGACATTTTGCAGGACAATTTCTAAATTTTATTTTAAAAGTTCTTAAAACCATCCCTAGCAGTAGATACCACCCTTACTTGGCATATGAGAAACTGGCTTTCAGAGAAGTCAATATACTGTAGGAGTTCACATAGTCAAAGTCAAGATGCAAAGGTCCAACTCCAAAGCCTATGCTTTTTGGTTCACCATAAGGAAATTCACATCTGAATATCTCCATGCGCTCTGCAAATGTATGGGAAAAATGGTAAGATAATAACAAAATATTACCGCCTTATAAAGGCTATATAGATGGTCCTTGACTTACAGTGGTTCAACTTGAGAACTTTTGAGTTTAAGATGGTGCAAAAGCAATATATATTAAGTGGAAAATGTAGTTTTTTGAATTTTGCTTTTTTCCCAAGCTAGCAAAAGCAGTACAGTATTTTTTCATGATGCTTGACTAGGCTAAGCTATGATGTTTAGTAATTTAGCCATATTAAATGCATTTTTAAAAAGATGTATTTATTTATTTGAAAGGCAGAATTATGGAGAGAGAGAGAAGGAGAGACAGAGATCAATCCTCCATCTGCTGATTCACCCCACAAATGGCTGCAAGAGCCAGGGCTGGGCCTGGCCAAAGCCAGGAGCCAGGAGCTTCTTTCAAGTCTCCCAATGTGAGTGCATGGGCCCAAGTACTTGGGTTATCCTCCGCTGCTTTCCCAGGTGCATTAGCAGGGAGCTGGATTGGAAGTAGAGCAGGCAGTACTGGAACTGGTGCCTGTATGGGATGCTGGCGCTACAGGGCACAGGTTTAATTCACTGAGAAACAGCATTCGCCCCAGTAAATGCATTTTTGACTTGTAATGCTTTCACTTAGGGTGGTTTTATCAGGCTGTAATGGCACTGTACAGCCATCATCATCCTTGCGGTGGAGCCCTTGACCAATTCCTGTTAAGATAGAAATAGAACAATGCCCATTCTCACCAGTATAGCACATTATTCTAGAAATGCTTCCCAACAATACTAAATAAGCACATAAAATAAAATATTTTTGAAGGGAACAGAGAATTATTTTATCAAGATTAAATTAATTGCTGAGCAATCCAAAGAAATAAGCCAGAAACTCAGAAATTTTAAGATTACAATCATACATCACTAAATGACAAGATTTATTTTGAGAAAGAATGTCATTAGGTGATTTTTCTTGTTGTGCAACCATAGAGTATATCTACTCAGACTAAGGTGGCTGTGATGTAACTACACAGCATAATCTCATGGGACCACCATTGTATATGTGGTCCATCATTGAAACATTGGGGGATGGAAAATCCTCTCTCTCTCTCTCTCTCGCTCTCTCTGTCTTTGTGCCTTTAAAATACACAAATAAATATATATTTTTTGAAAAACAGACACAGATTATGTCCTCAGAGTTACACTTTGGATAAAGGGAAAATAGAAAATAAACCAAGTGAACAAATGAATGTATAATACAAATCTGCTTGTGATAAATGCTATTAAGAAAAATATAGTAAAATTAAGGTACACAGGGATTCCTATTTTAGATGGGAAGGAGGATTTAAGGCCTTTTTGAAGAAGTAGAAAGTAGCAAAGGTTTAAAAAGTGTATGAGTAAGCATATCAACACCTCGGGGAGAATATTACAGGCAGATGACAGGGAAAGTGCCAAGATCCTTAGGTGGTCCTTTCCCTACACCGAACAGCTGGGCTACGCTGCTCCCCGTGGAAGTGAAGGTGACAGCGGCTCGGCACTGAGAAGCCTGAAGGGACATTCGGTGGCAGTTCTTCGACATAGAAACAGTTTCTGCCTGGCAGAATTTGGATTCTGGAGTCTGATAGGAAACATTTGAAAGGAAACAATAATCATGCATTTACAAGTATCACTAAGAGTGCATTGCGAATATGATACTGGAGACAGGAGTGATAGCTGGGAGAAATAGAAGACAGCTAGAGACAACAGAAGCACTTCTGATGAACTATGAAGGGACCTTGGACCAGGCAAAAGCAATGAGGAGAGAGGTGACTGGATCTGAAACGCGTTTCCGAGATTCTGTGAGATTTTTCTGGTGGATTGAAAGTGAGAAATGAGAGAAAGAGAAAGAAAAAGAAAAGATGCTTGAAAACCTTATGGCCCAAGCCTATGATGGAAAGAAGCTGTGGAAACCAGGATAAGAAACTGAGTGGGAAGGGATGGAATAGAAATTTGGTTCTGAATATGTTAAGTGTGAAATTACCTCTAACTGCAGGAGTCATGTAGGCAGTCGCATTTAAAATTGAAGTTCAGGAAAGACTTTGGCATTGAGCTACAAATGTGGAGATACCTGTTTATAAGTGATATTTAAAGGTGTAGGACTTGATGATGTCAGCTAAGGTGAGTGAAGTCTCAGGACTGAGTTATGGGGGGTGCTGCATTTAGAGGTCAGATGGGTGAACGTCACTGTGGAGTGGTGACTGCAGAGGCCTAAGTCGGCTGAGACACGAGCTATGCTATGAAGATGCTTTGAAGTCAGTCCCCCAAGTAACATGACTTTTCACAAATTCTGTGACCCGGGAAGCATCCCCCACCATTTGAGATGGAGGAAGCTCTCTCTCTTAGGGCCCTTAAAGGAAAAATGATTGACAATCCCTTTGTCTGAAAAACTCCATTGCTTGCCTCTTCACATATAGATAATATCCAGTGCAGAAATGTACTATACCTCTTTTTACAATTTTTAAAAAAGATTTATTTATTTACTTGAAAGTCAGAGTTACACAGAGAGAGGAGTGGCAGAGAGAGAGAGAGAGGTCTTCCATTGGCTGGTTCACTCCCCAGTTGGCTGCAACAGCCAGAAGTGTGCTAATCTGAAGCCAGGAGCCAGGAGCTTCTTCCAGGTCTCCCACGTGGGTGCTGGGACCAAAGGACTTGGGCCATCTGCTACTTCTTTCCCAGTACATAGCAGAGAGCTGGATGGGAAGAGGAGCAGCCAGGACTCAAACTGGTGCCTATATGGGAGGCTGGCACTGCAGGAAGCAGCTTTACCTGCTATGCCACAGCACTTTAATCAATAACCAAGATGTTTACCAGATTTTCATTCTGGTTTTTAACGTGATTGACAACTACATAAAGCAGTCTTGTTTAAACTTAACCCAGTGTATGTACCCACCCTGTAAGAAAAGTACAGAGCCTGTAGCCAAAGAGCAGCCTGCCAAGCAGTCAATTCAGATTGCTTCTGGGTCAACCCTTTTAACTTTGATTCTCCATCTCAGTTCTGATCATTTCAGCCAACAGACATGTCTATGCTGATATACTATCACTATAAAACATCATTAGCCAGTTGTATAAGGTCTTCCAGAGTGATAGAACCAATAGGCTAGAGAGATAAGAGAAATGGATGTATAATAGATAGATAGATAGATAGATAGATAGACAGACAGATAGATAGATAGAGATAGATGATAGATAGGTGCTAGAGGGATGGTATAGATATAGATATGGATATAGATACATATATAGATGGGAGATTTAATAGAGGAATTGGCTCACCTGATTTTTGAGACTTAGAAGTCCCCTGACAGGGTGCTGTGAGCCTTAGAACCTAGGATGCGGCTGTGTGACTCAGTCCAAGTCCAAAGTGAGAGCAGGGAGAGTAAACAGAAGAGAGAGATGTGCAGATGCAGTTGAGGTGAAAGATGATGGGATCTTGGGCTAAGGTCGAAGTAATGAGGAAGAAAGTGGTTAGATTTGGAATTTATTTCTAAGACCCAGTGAGATTTGGTATAACAGGGAACAGGGAGTGATTGGAAAGCTGTTGGTCTAAGTCCTAGAGTACAAAGGGCAGAGCTCCCAGGAGTTCTGATGTTCAAGGATGGAGAAGCGTGGAGCCCAGCTCTTGGAGAGAGAGGAAGCCATCCCAAGCTAATGGGATGGTGCCCACTCTGTTGAAGGTAGCTCTTCCCCTATTAATCCATTGACTCACAGGCCAGTCTCTTCTGGAAACATTCTCACAGACACACCCAGAAATAGTTACCGGTTTTCTAGGTAAAATAATCCAATCAGGTGGTTACCTAAAATGAACCACTCCACCAGTTAAAGATGTTAGAAGAGGAAAATTCCTGCTTGCAATAGATAAAAGCTGTGATCATATCTGGTCCATAATTCTGGTGTCTAAGCCATCCTTAACTCTATGTCTTGCCACTTGCATTCAGATTGGGCAATAGCTCTTAGATCTCATTGAACTACTTTCCAAGGTATTTCACTGGGAAATACTTGTGAATAGCTTGTGAGTAATAGCTTCCTGGGGTGCCCTCAGTCCTGTCCCAGCAGTCTGGAGATTTCTTGTTGCCCTCTACTTCAAATGACTATCACTAATATTTTTGGCTCCTACCTAACCAGTCTTAATGTTTTACATTTGGACTATAAAATATTAATAGATCATATCAATAAACTATCCAAATTTATTTCTCCAAATGTATTTTTTAGATTCATTTTGTAAATTCTCTTATTATTATGGCTTATTTTTTCCCCAGGCATGTCTCTTTCAAATGTGAGCATAAACCTGGAAAGAATGATTTTGAAAAGTCAAACCTTGGACCACACCTTGTTCCAACAAATACAAAAAATGAAGAAAGTAAGCCAATAGGTAATGCCTTCTGTAACATTTGCTTCTTTATTAATAAATCATTTTTATTATTTATTATTATTAATGTATGCATTAAAAATTATTGAAAAGTTTTTTCCATCAAAAGCATTTATGTGAGCTATAATGAAGATTTTACTAGGGTTGGCATTGTGGCGCAGTGGGTTAAGCTGCTGTCTTCTATGCCAGCATCTCATAGGGGTGCAGGTTTAAGTCCAGGCTGATCCACTTCTGATCCAGCTCCCTAGTAATGGCCTGGGAAAAGCAGAAGAGAATAGCCCAAGTGCTTAGGTCCCTGCACCCATGTGGGAGACCTGGAAGAAGCTCCTGGCTCCTGGCTTTGGCCTGGTGCAGACCCTGCTGATGTGGCCATTTGGGGAGTGAATCAGTTGATCAAAGACCTCTCTCTGTCTCTCCCTCTCTCTCTCTCTGTAACACTGAATTTCAAATAAATAAACCTTAAAAAAGAAAGAAGAATTTACCATGAAGAAATGGGCACTTTATCAAAGTGGATATTTTAGACAATTCAAAGAATAGAAATATATTTGTGTTTACAGGAGATTTTTTCCTTTTAGAAAGAAATTCCCTTAGCTTCCTTGGTTCTCAACCCTAAGAGTTACCTTGTTATTATTAAAAAATAAAGGATGTCCTAAACAGCACTCTGGCCTCAGAATCAGCCCTAAAGGCATTCCAATCTGGCTGAAAAGCCCATGAGAGTATTTCAGGCATGGAAAGCCAAGACACTCTGGCAAAAAACAAAAACAAAAACAAAAACAAAAACAAACAAACAAACAAACAAACAAAAACAAAACAAAAAAAACAAACACCTAAATGAAAGATCTCTGTGAGTGAGATCCCAGTGGAAAGAACAGGTCTTCAAAGAAGGAGGTACCTTTCTCTGAAGGGAGGAGAGAACCTCCACTTTGACTATGACCTTGTCTAAACAAGATAAGAGTCGGAGAACTCAAGGGGCTTCCATAGCCTTGGAAACTCATGACTGGTGCATAGGGAGATTACTGATGCCATAAACAAGAGTGTTAATTTGTAAAGTCAACAACAGGAGTCACTGTGCACTTACTCCTCATGTGGGATCTCTGTCCTTAATGTGTTGTACATTGAGACTTACTGCTATAACGAGTACTCAAACAGTATACTTCACTTTGTGTTTCTATGGGGGTGCAAACTGTTGAAATCTTAACTTAATGTATACTAAACTGATCTTCTGTAAAAAAAAAAAGAAGAAGAAGAAGAAATTATCAATTCCCAACTTGACTCTCACTGGGATTAAACATGACAATAGGTCTGATCTGATTTCATCATCATTTAAAAAATCATCTATTATTTTTCACTTTATGTTTCTGTGTGGGAGCAAACTGTTGAAATCTTTACTTAATGTATGCTAAACTGATCTTCTGTATATAAAGAGAATCGAAAATGAATCTTGATGTGATTGGAAGGGGAGAGGGAGTGGGAAAGGGGAGGGTTGCGGGTGGGAGGGACGGTATGGGGGGGAAGCCATTGTAATCCATAAGCCGTACTTTGGAAATTTATATTCATTAAATAAAAGTAAAAAAAAAAAAATAAAGTAAAGGATCCAGTATTTGGTCTTGCAGTTAAGAGGCCAGTTAGGATGCCCATATCCCTTATTGGAGTCTCTGTGTTCGATATCCAAGTGGGGCTCCTGACTCCAGCTTCCTGCTATTGCAGACCTGGTAGATGCAATAATGGCTCAAGTAATTGGGTTCCTATGATCTATGTGGAAGATCTGGAATGGATTCCTAGTTCCAGTGTTTTTTTTTCCTTTAACCATATACAGTAAATTTAAAAATCATCATAAATCATTAAAACTATAGCAGTATAACATTCCGAACCATTCATTTTACAAAAACATAAAACAAAATTTGACAAAACTATATTTGCAGCAATAGTGATACACACAGACATTTCTTTCCTTTTTGTTTTATTTATCTATTTATTTTTAGTTCCCACATACGAGTATGTCTTTCTGTGTCCTGCTTAATTCAATCAGCATGATGTCCTCCAGGTGCATTCATTTTGCCTCCAATGGTAGAATTTCATTTTTAAAAGACGGATAATATTGTGTGTGTGTGTGTGTGTGTGTGTGTCTGTATAACATTTTATTTATCTGATGATTTGATGATGGGCACCTCAGTTGATTCCATATTTTGTCTATAGTGAACAGCTATGCTATAAAAATGGTGGCACAGGTATCTTTTTTTCCCAGAAACCTTTTATTTAAGGGATAAAACTTCATGCATTTCTTAAGTACAACTTTAGGAACATAGTGATTCTTCCCACTGTACCCACCCTCCCACCCACACTCCTACCCATCTTCCTCCTCCCTCTCCTATTCCCAATCTTATTTTTTACTAAGATCTATTTTCAATTAATTTTATACACATATGATTAATTTTATAGCAAGCAAAGAGCTCAACAAATAGTATTAAAGAAAAAAAATTGCTCCTCAATAGTAGAGAGAAGAGTTGTTCAAAATCATTGCATCTCAAAGTGTCAATTTCAGTTCCATAGATGACCTTTTAGTTATCACAGATCACAGAGAACATATGGTATTTGTCTTTTTGGAACTGGCTTATTTCACTAAATAAGATGGTTTCCAGTTGCATCCATTTTGTTGCAAATGACAGGATTTCTTTTTTTTTTACTGCTGTGTAATATTCCATGGTATACATGTCTCATAATTTCATTATCCAGTCTTCGGTTGACAGACATTTTGGTCGAATCCATATTTTTTTTTTTTTGACAGGCAGAGTTAGACAGTGAGAGAGAGAGACAGAGAGAAAGGTTTTCCTTTTCCGTTGGTTCCCCGCCCCCCCCGCAATGGATGCCACGGCCGTTGTGTTGCGCCAATCCGAAGCCAGGAGCCAGGCGCTTCCTCCTGGTCTCCAGGCGGGTGCAGGGCCCAAGCACTTGGGCCATCCTCCACTGCCTTCCCGGGCCACAGCAGAGAGCTGGACTGGAAGAGGAGCAACCAGGATAGAATCTGCACCCCAACCAGGACTAGAACCCGGGGTGTTGGTGCTGCAGGTGGAGGATTAGCCAAGTGAGCCGTGGCGCCAGCTGAATCCATATCTTAGTTATTATGAATTGAGCTGCAATAAATATGGGGGTACATAACTCTTTCATATGCTGATTTAATTTCCCTTAGGTAAATTCCCAGGAGTTGGACACAGCACCGACCCCTAGGATTCACTGTTAATGTTGTACATTCTATGGGTTTTGACAAATGGAGAATGGCATGTACTCACCATTATAGTATCATGCAGAAGAGTTTCATGGTTCTAAAACTGCTCTTTACTCTGTCCTTCTTATTTCCCAACCCCTGGTAGACTCTGGTTTTTTTTCCTACGATTTCCACTTTCCCCAGAGTGTCACAAAGAGTGTGCAGCCTTTTCAGATATGTTCCTTTCACTGAGTGATGTGTGGTCAGAGTTCTTCCACTCCACATGTTCATGGCTTGATAGCTCACTTCTTTTTATCACTGAATAATATTCAGTTGCCTGAATGTAAATTATTTCATTCCTTTACAGATTTTCTATTACTGCTGTAATTTTAATTCAATATTTTTTTAACTTTTATTTAATGAATATAAATTTCCAAAGTACAGCTTATGGATTACAATGGCTTCCCCCCCCATAACTTCCCTCCCACCCGCACCCCTCCACTTTCCCTCTCCCTCTCCCCTTCCATTCACATCAAGATTCATTTTCATTTCTCTTATATACAGAAGATCAGTTTAGCATACATTAAGTAAAGATTTCAACAGTTTGCACCCACATAGAAACACAAAGGGATAAATACTGTTTGAGTACTAACATTAGCATTAAATCACACTGTACAGCACATTAAGGACAGAGATCCTACATGAGGAGTAAGTGCACAGTGACTCCTGTTGTTGACTTTACAAATTAACACTCTTGTTTATGGCATCAGTAATCTCCCTATGCACCAGTCATGAGTTTCCAAGGCTATGGAAGCCCCTTGAGTTCTCCGACTCTTATCTTGTTTAGACAAGGTCATAGTCAAAGTGGAAGTTCTCTCCTCCCTTCAGAGAAAGGTACCTCCTTCTTTGATGACCTGTTCTTTCCACTGGGATCTCACTATCAGAGATCTTTCATTTAGGTCTTTTTTTCAATATATTTTAAATACTAAAACATAACTTTATTTACACAGTCTATGTTCCATTAGATTTTTGTTTCTCTGTCTTTATATAATGCATCTTTTTTTCCCCTTTAGTGCATATCTTCTTGTGGTACGCTTTCTCAATTTTTATCCAAAGAGTCTTTATTTCATTTTGATCCCATAAGAATATTTTGTTGAATATTTAATTGTGGGCTGGAAATTCTTTTCTTTTACACACACTGAAAGTACTGTTCTATTTTTTGGCTTCCATTGTTGCCATTGACAAATTAGCTTAACTGCCATTTCTTTCAAGGCAATAGGTTATCCTCTTTTCTTTCTTTTATGTATTTCCACTATGTTATGTGCAGTAATTAACTGACTTTTACTTATTTTGCTTAGGATTTATTGAGACTTGCAAATTTATTGAGACTTGGTAACTGATCGATTCTGAAAAATTCTGTCATATTTCTTAAAAAAAATCCTCTATATTTAATTCTTGCCTCCTCTTTATGGAACAATGGTGAAATGTGTATTAAACTTTACTGAGGTCTCTGTTGTCTCCTGCCCGCCTCTCTGCATTTTTCCTCTCTGTGTCTTTCTCTGATAAATTCCTAATTCTTTCTTCTGATCTCTGGTCTACATTTCCATTTTTTCTTCTGTTGCAACAAATCAATTGCTTCTGGAGAAAAAATATAAAAAATATGTTAAGAACATATCTTTCCTAAATGTGCTTTATGACTTTTATTGCTTTAGCTATTTCCAGACTTATTTCTTGCTGTGTGAACATGGTAGGTATATCTATGTCTGACACTTGCAATCTTTGTGTCTGTATTGTCTGCTTTCTGGTGGTTCACTTTTGTAATGTCATATTTCCTTATGTACCTTATTATATTTGAATGTGTGCTGGACACTATTTGGAAACAATTTGAAGACTAAGATGATGGGACCTTACTACAGAGAAGATTTTTATGATTTCTTTCAGATATCTAGAAGCAATACTTGTCAAAACATTCCTTAGCCCACATTCATGGCATTTATTTTCCTGGAACTCCCAGTTGGCAGGAGTGCTAACTTCAGTCCTACACACACACACACACACACACACACACACACACACACTCATATTTCTTCTGGTATTCTCTTACCATAAGGTTATAACCCTTTGGAATTCCAGGTAAAATGAGTGCCTGTGGCTTTCTTTGGGGAGGAGGTCAGGAGGGAAAATCATTTCAATATCTCACTTCTGAATCTTTGGTCTTGTTTTAGTTTTTGTGTATTTCAGTCCATGAGGTTTCCAAAACCTGAGCTTACTTTCATATCACAAATACTCTCAGGGTAAATGTGGCTTTGTTTGTGGGACTTAAATATCTAAGTTCTTACCTTCTTACCAAATCTGTTATCAGCTTTCAGCTCCTGGATGCTCTAGGTGTGTGTGTGTGTGTGTAGTTGTTTTGTTTTAGATTTATTTATTTATTCAAATGGCAGAGTTACAGAGAGAGACAGAGACAGAGACAGAGAGACAAGGAAATCTCCCATCTGCTGGTTCATTCCCTAAGTGACCACAACAGCAGAATGGAGCCAGGCTGAGGCCAGGAGTCAGGAGTTTCCTACAGGTCTCCCACATGGGAGCAGAGGCCCAGGCACTTGGGCCATCCTCCACTGCTTTCCTAGGCACATTAGCAGGAAGCTGGATTGGAAATGGAGCAGCTAGGATATGAACCAACACCCGTATGGGATGCAGACATTGAAGTTGGTGGCTTAACATGCTAGGCCACAGTGCCAGCCCCTCTTTAGGTTTTTTAAAAATATTCTGTCTAGCTTTTTTAGCTGCCTTCACAAGGAAGCCTGGTACTAATTATCTGGCCCTTAATAATGGCAGCAGAACTCTCTGGTTCGTTTTCTTTTCTAAATTCACCATGATCTTTTTAAAGCTGTTTCATCATCTCCTAATTAAATCCCTTTCAGTGACTTCTCACTGCACTTAGTATGAAACCTGTTCTTACAAAGATCCTATATATTATGACCTTCGCTTGTATATTCAGTCTCACTTGTGCTTTCCCGCACTTCACTTAATCTTTTCTAGCCACCTTTCAGTGCAGCTGCCAGGCTGCCGCTTGCCTAGATTCGCACTCCTTATTCACATAGCTTTCTCCTCATTTGCATGTTTTCATTAAATGTCATCTGTTAGGAAAGCTCCTCTCTGACTTCCTTGTATAAATGGTACCCCTTTTTATTGTTCTCCTTCACCAAAATGTGTTCATTTCTGGCACAGCATGTATCTCAGTGTACACTCTTTCGTCTTTTTACTTATTTATTTTCTACTTTACCCAGTAAAATATACACATCATTGGGCAGGACTCTTAGTCCAGGGTCCAGCACCAGTGTCGGGAATAAAGTAGGTGATGAACACGTAGCTGTTGGTTGAGTGAGTACCAGATTCCATATTGCTTGTTCTGTCTCTATAAAATTTTATTTGTTTATTTGAGAGGTAGAGTTACAGACAGTGAGAGGGAGAGACACAGAGAAAAGTCTACCTTCCGCTGGTTCACTCACCAAATGGCTGCAATGGTCAGAGCTGGGCCAGTCTGAAGCCAGGAGCTCCCATGTGGGTGCAGGGGCCCAGGCACTTGGGCCATCTTCTACTGCTTTCCCAGGCCACAGCAGAGAGCTGGACTGGAAGAGGAGCAGCCAGTAGGATTAGCCTACTGCGCCACAGCACCAGCCCGTTATGTCTCTTATTTAATCTTGTAAATACTGTTATTTCCAATTAACAGAGAGGAAAGTAAGGCTCAGAGAGGTAACACAAATTTTCTAAGGCACATAACTTACAAAAAAGTGTGATTTGGATTTAAGTTTGCTAAAGCCTTACTCTGTATGCTCAAGTCCTACGCTATCCTTTAAGAAAATTCCTTGGGGGCTGGTGCTGTGGCTTGGCGGGTAAAGCCACCGCCTGTAGTGCAAGTCATTCCATATGGGCGCTGGTTCATGTCCTGGCTGCTCCACTTCCGATCCAGCTCTCTGCTATGGCCTGGGAAAGCAGTAGAAGATGGCCCAAGTCCTTGGGCCCCTGCACCCACGTGGGAGACCCAGAAGAGGCTCCTGGCTCCTGGCTTCAGATTGGCGCAGCTCCAGCTGTTGCAGCCAATTGGGGAGTGAACCAGCGGATGGAAGACCTCCCTCTCTCTTTTGGCCTCTCCTTCTCTCTCTGTGTAACTCTGACTTTCAAATAAATAAATAAATCTTAAAAACAAAAGAAAAAAGAAAATTCCTTAGGTGATAATCCAAGTTTATAAAATTCATAATTGGGGGTGTGAAAGTGCAGGTAGAGGGAATTATTTTTTTTCAAATGAATTAATCAAAAGATTCCTTTGAAAAATATGTATGATTCCACAATATTTAAAAACCTACTTTTATTTGAGTGGGCATTTAGCCTAAAAGTTGAAATGTCCCATTCTATGTTGAAGTACCTGAGTTTGATTCCCAGCTCTGGCTCTTGCCCCCAGCTTCCCACCAATGCAGACTCTGAGAGGTAATAGTGATGGTTCAAATTGTTGGGTTCCTGCCGCACTTATGAGAGACCAGGATTGCACTCCTGGCTCCTCCCTAGCCCCAGTCTATCCCTGGCATTATGAAGTAAACCAGCAGATGGAAGCTTTCTCTCTCTTTGCTTATCAGTTTTTCCAAAAAAAAATAGATTTATTTTATCTATTTGAAAGGCAGCATGAAAGAGAAAAAAGGAGAGACAGAAAGAGATCTTCCATCCCCTGATTCACTCCCCAGTGGCCACAATGGTTGGGGCGATGCAACACCAAAGGCTGAAGCCTGGAACTCCATCCAGGTCTCCCATGTGGTGGAAGGGGTCCAAGTACTTGGGTCATCTTATTCTGTTTTCCTAGTCACATTACCAGGGAGCTGGATCAGAAGCAAAACAGCCAGGACTTGAACCAGTGCTCCAATGTGGGATACTGGCATTGTAAGCACTGGCTTAACCTACAGCACCGCAGCATTGGCTCCTTTGCTTATCAGTTAAATAAAAAACTTGCATCTATTTTTTGCCCAAGAAGAAAACGTTATACAATACAATTATGTATCTGTTAATAAAATTCATTTTAAGGCAAATCATTTTAGAATAGATTGAACTCTAAAATGTAAAAGCAATACAAACAATATATACATAAAAAAAGAAGAATATTAAACTGTATTTCTGAATAGTTTACTACTAGTAATGGTTGATTGATGACTACCAGAAAATGGTTGATTGAGTTTGGCTAGATGTAGTCTAAGGTTATGAAATACTTATGTTTGGATTATTTTTCTTTAGAAAAAATAGAAGAAAATCTAAAATCAAGATCTGTTGAACTTTTTCATTATCTTAAGGATACACCTGAGGTAGGTTTAGTTCTGTATACTTATAATTAGCAGAAATTCAGATTGGCCTTAATAATTGTACACATACCTCTATAAATCTCAAATTAAAATAGATTTTGGATTCAAAGGCATAAAATTTTAAAATGATTTCAGCTCTGATATTACGTAAGACTCTACTTTGTATAGATAATATAAAGATGTTTTTTCTTCAGATAAAACTATAAATGCATAAACATCTTACTTTATTATATAAAATGTACATCATTTGTTAATCTTATAATATGTAGTTAATACCATTTTTAAGCAGCTACAGTTAATCAAAGTATATAATTGCAATAATGACTACTATAAACAGGTTTAAATGCTACTGGAGAAGCTTTTTGAACAAGCAGTTAGGATGCCACTTGGAATGCCCACATTCCATGTAGGAATGCCTGGGTTTGAGTCCCAGCTGCACTCCCAATACCAGCTTCCAGCAAATACGCACCGTGGGAGGTAGAAGGTGATAGGTCAATTTTCTGCCTCCGACATGGAAGACCCAGATTGAGTCCCAAGCTCCTGGCTTCAAACTGACCCAGTTCTCGCTGTTTTGTGGGCATCTGGAGGAGTAGGTCTGTGGATGGGAACATACTGTGTGTGTGTGTGTGTGCGTGTGTGCATGTGTTACTCTGGACTTCAAACAAAAAATAATTTTTTAAAACAGAGAACTGATGAGGCTGGCATTGTGGCACAGTGGGTTAAAGCCCCAGCCTGCAGGTTAGGCATCTCATATGGGCACCGGTCCTGGCTGCTCCACTTCTGATCCATGTCTCTGCTAATGCACCTGGTAAAGCAGCGGAGGATGGCCTGAGTCCTTGGGCCTCTGCATCCACCTGGGAGACCCGGATGAAGCTCCTGGTTCTTGGCTCCTGCTCCTGGCTTCCTCTGGGTCTTCCACATGGGTAGCAAGGGCCTCAGAACTCAGACCATCCTTTGCTGCTTTCCCAGGCACATCAGCAAGAGCTGGATTGGAAGAAGGGCAGCCGGGTCTTGAACCGGCACCCCTATGCGATGCTGGTGTCAAAGGTGGCAGCTTTACCCACTATGCCACAACAGCTGATCTGATCATTTCCTACACTTTGAGGTTTCCTTCTCCCCCTGAAATTTCTAGTTGCCTTTCTTTTTCTTAGAGAATTATAATAATACTGAATATCAACATATAAGAAGTGCTTGCATGTTTCAAGAACCTATTCAAGGATGATTACACTCTCAACAACCCAACAGAGTAGGTACGATTACCTTTATTCTCTGATGAGGAAAAAGAGACACAAAGAACATAAACATCTTGCCCCAGATCACATCGTGCGTGGCAGATCTAGGAAGAACCCAGCCATCTGGTGCATGCTCTGTTAACATCAAGATCTTCAGTCTCCAGAGTGGAAGCTGTAACTTTCTCACCCCGTGTGAACATGGTCACATTTCTTACTCATTCTCTCTATCGAATGCACTTCATTCCAGTCTTCTTGGAGGAAGTTTTCAAAGGGCCCAGTGATTTCTTGTTGCACATTTGACCCATTACATTTATGCCTCCTTACACTTGTTACATGGCTTAGTTTTTTTTTTTTAACTTTCTTTATTTTATATATTTAATTTTTTTTGACAGGCAGAGTTAGAGAGAGAGAGACAGAGAGAAAGGTTTTCCTTTTCCTTTGGTTCACTCTCCAAATGGCTGCTACAGCCGGCGTGCTGCGCCGATCCAAAGCCAGGAGCCAGGTGCTTCCTCCTGGTCTCCTATGCGGGTGCAGGGCCCAAGCACTTGGGCCATCCTCCACTGCCTTCCTGGGCCACAGCAGAGAGCTGGACTGGAAGAGGAGCCACCGGGACAGAACCGGCACCCCAACCAGGACTAGAACCTGGGGTTCTGGCGCCACAGATGGAGGATTAGCCAAGTTAGCGGCGGTGCCAGCCTTTCTTTTAATAAATATAAATTTCCAAAGTACAGCTTTTGGATCATAGAGGCTTCCCCCAACCCCATAACCTCCCTCCCACCCGCAACCATCCCTTCTCCTACTCCCTCTCCCACCCCATTCACATCAAGATTAATTTTTAATTATCTTTATATACAGAAGATCAATTTAGCATATACTAAGTAAAGATTTCAACAGTTTGCACCCACACAGAAACACAAAGTATAAAGTACTGTTTGAGTACTAGTTATGCCGTAAATTCACATAGTACAACACTTTAAGGACAGATATCCTACATGGGGAGTAAATGTACAGTGGCTCCTGTTGTTGATTTAACAATTGACACTCTTATTTATGATGTCAGTAATCACCTGAGGCTCTTGTCATGAGCTGCCAAGGCTATGGGAGCCTCTTGAGTTCGTATAGGGCCCAATGACTTCTTGTTCCACATTTGACCCATTACATTTAATTCCTTATGTTTGTTACGTGGCTTAGTTTTCCAGAGTCTAGTATCCCATGTCTTCTTATTTCTTCTTGGATTTAATCTTTATTTTCCTAGAATATGTACTCAATAAGCTTTCCAAGAAATGGAACATGAATATCTTAGAGAGTATTTCTTCTTTCCAATATACTGGATTAATAAGTTGGCTGAGTAGCATTAGGCTTCAAACTCATTTTTCCTTTAACTTTTAAAAGATATTGTTCCACTGCCGTAATTTAATGTTGTTATGAAAAGTTCTTAATCATTGAAAGTAACCTCATTTTTTTTCTAGAAACTCTTAAGATCTTGTCTTTATCAGTGTTGCTCTGAAATGTCTTCATCATTGCCTAGGTTTGGCTATTTTATTTCAAATTATGCTATTCATTGCTCATGGACCAGCTGTACAGCCAAATATCTTTCTTTAGGCCTTAAGAGTCTTTTTATTATTTCTGGATAATTTCATCTTTACTACTTTTCCTATTTTCTGCCGATAAGATATTAGATTCATTGGACGTATTTTCTAAAATGCTTTTTGAGATTTTTTTGTCTCTGAAAGTTTGCCCTTCATTATGAGAAATTTCTCAGTTTCCTTTTTCAGTCCTTTTTCTGCACTTTTCTTCAGCGGTCATATTTTCACTTCCAAATGTTTCTAAAACTCTGTGGTTGTTTATCTCCCCTATAAAATCCTGTCACATTTGTTCTCAAAAAATTTCCAAAGATATTAGAGTTCATTTTCTTATGTTCTTTTAGTTTCTTAAGTTACATGTTCCTGCTGGTACCAGGTGTTCTTTTTGTTGATCATGATATGTATCTTTGAAGTTGCTAATTTTTATCCTATCTGGTTGTTACGTGGTTGGAATGTGTCCTTCCGAAATTCACATTTGGAAGTTTAATTATAAATGTGATGGCATTAAGGGATGGGCTTTAGGGCTATGATTCAGTCAGAAGGGCTGAACATTTCTAGAACAGAATTAGGGACCTTAGAAGAGCCGTGTAAGGGAATTGTTTGCCACTTCTTGCCATGTGAAGCATGACAAGGGTTCACCTGTGGAACAGAGCATGGACCCTCACCAGACAGCAACTCTGCCAGTGCTTTGACTAGGACTTCCTAGCCTTCCAACCCTGAAAAAAAAACAAACAATTTTTTTTATGGGCAATCAATTTTTAAAAATAAAAAATTTTATTCATTTTTCATTTACTTGAAAGGCAGAGAGAGAATCTGTGGACTCAGTCCCTAAGAACATGCATAGCCATGGCTGGGTCAGGCCAAACCCAGGAGCCAGAAACTCCATCTGTGTGTCAGGGGCAGAAACACTTGAGTCATCTCTGCTGCCTTCCAACACATTAGCAGGAAGCTGGATTAGAAGCTGTAAGACAGATAGAGGTGAAGAGAAATCTTCCATCCACTGGTTTACCCTCAAAATGCCTGCAAAAGCATTGGCCCATGGCTGGGCCAGGCGGAAGCCAGAAGCCTGGAACTCAGCCCAGGTTTCCCACATGGAATGCAGGGACCCACTGCTGGAGCCGTCACCTGTTATCTCCCAGGGTGTGTACTAGTAGGAAGCTGGAGCCGTAAGTGGAGTCAGGCCTTGCACCCAGGCACAGCAAAATGAAATGTAACTGTCCCAAGCAGTTTCTAACTACTACCCAGATGCCTGCCCTTTCCCTTCTGCAGGCTTGCTTTGTTATCCATAAAGTAGTAGTGATAATGTCTGTCTCATAGGGAATTTTTGAGAATAAAATATAGCATTATATTTGAAAGCATTAAATGAACCAGACAGCTGTTAGTTACCATAATTAAACATTCCAAATATGAATTATCAAGTAAAACGATTTTTAAATATACGCACAATAAAAATAATTTCTGCGATAGTTTTTCATTTCGTTTGCTGTTCATCTGGAAAATGCAGAGCCCTGGTGTGTTCTATATTCCCAGCCTCTACACGCCTGTGGAAGGTCCTGCGGTTCTACAGTCTTGTCTCCTGTACTCAGCTCCCACACTAACACCTGTGAAAAGGAAAAAGGTTCTGTTTCATGCACAGGTATTCAAATTGCATGTTTATATCGAAACAACTGAAAGTTAACTGCGTCCAAATTTAGGATGTAAGCTTGAAGGAAACCTGGAATCAAGTACTATTTTTGAACATTCACCATATTTTCTTACTTAAAAACAGATGAAGACACTGTATGACAAAAGTGGTAAAGTTCAGATTCCTTACATTGGGATATAAGCTCTTTCCAGTCCTTCTTCTTCTTCTTTTTTAAAAGATTTATTTTGTTATTTCAAAACGTAGAGTTACAGAAAGAAAAGGAGACACAGAGAGAAAAACATCTTCCACTTGCTGGTTCATTTCCCCAAGAGGGCTGCAACAGCCAGGACTGGGCCAGGCCAAAGCATTACAGCTACAAACTTCCTCCTCCATCACTTATGCCCACTCTTATTTTTTACTGAGCTCTATTTTCAATTAACTTTATACACATATGATTAAAGTAAAAAAGTTCAGCAAATAGTATGAAAAAGAGGAAAAAAACTGTTCCTCAACAGTCAAGACAGGGGCTGCTGAAGTCATTGCTTCTCAAAGTGTCAAGTTCACTTCCACAGCCTTCCTTTTAGGTGCTCTGTTAGTTCTCACAGATCGTGGAAATGTACGATATGTGTCCCTTTGGGACTGGCTTATTTCACTATGTATGACGTTTTCCAGATTCACCCATTTTGTTGCAAATGACTGGTTTTCATTTTTTTTTACCACTTTGTAGTATCCCACAGAGTATATATCCCATAATTTCTTTATCCAGTCTTCAGTTGATGGGAAGTTGTGTTGATTCCATGTCTTAGTTATTGTGAATTGAGCTGAAATAAACATAGGGATGCAAATAACTCTTTTATTTGCTGATTTCATTTCCCTTGGGTAAATTTTCAGGAGTGGGATGGTTGGGTCTTATGGTAAGTATATATTCAATTTCTGGAGTATCTCCATACTGTATTCCACAGTGACTGTACCAGTTTACATTCCCAACAACAGTGGATTGGGGTATCTTTTTCCCCACATCCTCACCAGCATTTGCTGTTTGTTGATTTCTTTATGAAAGCCATTCTAACGGGGGGTGGGGGGGGGGTTTGAAATCTCATTGTGGTTTTGATTTGCATTTCCCTGACCGCTGGTGATCCTGAGTATTTTTTCATGTGTCGGTTGGCCATGTGAGTTTCCTCTTTTGAAAAATGTCTGTTTAATTTCTTTGTCTTTTTCTTAACTGGGTTGATTGTTTTGTTGTTGTTGAGTTTTCTGTCTCTTTATATATTCTGATCCTGAGTTGTGTGTGTTCTCACCCTTCATGTAGGTCCACTGTGTCCCTCCAATTTGCACAGAGTTCCCTCTGCTGTTTTCTCCCTAACTCCTCCCAAGACTGCACTCTTTCCCTTACTTTTTAACATTGTCTATGTATGTCTAGTGAATCTCTTGGCATTTTCTTTCAATTCATTAACTCCACGAAGTTTTTCCCCCAGCTACTTGCCTGGATGCTTCCTTCTCTCTACTCAGATTTTACCTCAAATATCCCCTCCTATGAGAGGCTCTCAATTGCCATCATAAGTGAAGTAACATGTTTATATACTTGCATAGTACTTACAAGGACTTGGAATTTGTGTATGCACTGATTTATTTGTTGATTTACTTGCTTATTGACTAGCTCCTCCTTCTGAAACAGAGCTTTCCAATCAGTATACTGGGGTTATGAGTTATATTGATTTTTCAGCCCTCGAGTCTGCCCCTTGGCCCTATGGAAGCCTGTCACAAGTACACTCAATATTTATCCTAGTGTTTGTACAAAACATATCAATTAGAATGTTCTCCACGGGGTAGAAAATGTTAGGACGGGCAGGCACTGTGGCATAGTGGGTAAAAGCCACCACATGCAGTGCTGGCATCCCATATGGGCAATGGTTCAAGTCCCAGCTGCTCCAATTTTCATCCAGCTCTCTGCTATGGCCTGGGAAAGCAGTGGAAAATGTCCCAAGTCCTTGGGCCCCTGCATCCACGTGGGAGACCTGGAAGAATCTCCTGGCTCCTGGCTTCGGATTAGCACAGCTGCAGGCATTGCAGCCATCTGGGGAGTGAACCAGCAGATGGAAGACCTCTCTCTCTCTCCCTCTCTCTGCCTCTGCCTCTCTGTAACTCTGACTCTCAAATAAAATAAATCTTTTAAAAAAAGAAAAGAAAATGTTATGAGATATTTTATACAAGATATTTTCAAGATGCCACAATACATACATGTTTTTTATGAAAATCTTTTTCCATCTCAGCTCAAATTGAAAACAAAACTGGGAAATTATTGGATTCTTTTGTCCAGTTAGAAGATGATGTCAATAAAAGGTAACTTGTTTTACAATTTTTAAGGAATCTATCAGTACATTCAATTCAGTACATTCAATTCAGGGTCACAGCAAAGGCCTGATAATTACTATAGCACAATTGACATGCTAAATGATATTAATACAAAGAATACAAATTCAATCTATTTCAGACACAAATATTCTATTGAATGATGTTTGTGGTAGTAGGAGTTTTGCATTTTATCTTGTAATAGGGCAAAATTAATTCATCCTGGCTTATTATTAACATTTAGTCCCATAAGACAATCCAATGAATGGTTTAAGACTGCTTAGTCAGTAGGTATCACATCTAGACTGTAACTCAGTCAAATGGAGAGAAGGACATGGGAAAATGAATAGTGAAAATACATTTATGCTTTTGAAGTACAGGCAAAAATTTATATCAGAACACAGATATGACTATGGAAGTCAGTCTGGAGATTCCTCAGTAACCTGAATATAACCCTACCATACAACCCCGCCATACCACTCCTTGGAATTTACCAAAGGAAATTAAATTGGCAAACAAAAAAGCTGTCTGCACATTAATGTTTATTGCAGCTCAATTCACAATACCTAAGACCTGGAACCAACCCAAATGCCCATCAACAGTAGACTGGATAAAGAAATTATGGGACATGTACTCTATAGAATACTATACAGCAGTAAAAAACAATGAAACCTGGTCATTTGCAACAAGATGGAGGAATCTGGAAAACATTATGCTGAGTGAGTTAAGCCAGTCCCAAAGGGACAAATATCATATATTCTCCCTGATTGGCGACAACTAACTGAGCACCAAAGGGGAAACCTGTTGAAGTGAAATGGACACTATGAGAAACAGTGGCTTGATCAGCTCTTGTCCTGATGGTTGATGTACAATGTAATACTTTATCCATTTTAGTATTTTTTTTCTTCTAGTACTATTGGTTGAACTCTGTAATTAACACACAATTGTTCTTAGGTGTTTAAATTTTAACTGAAAAGTGATCCCTGTTAAATATAAGAGTGGGAATAAGAGAGGGAGGAGATGTACAATTCGGGACATGCTCAATCGGACTTGCCCCCAATGGTGGAGTTAGAAACATGCCAGGGGATTCCAATACAATCCCATCAAGGTGGCATGTACCAATGCCATGTCACTAGTCCAAGTGATCAACTTCTGTTCACAATTGATCACACTGATAGGTCTAAGAGTCAAAGGGATCACACAAACAAGACCAGTGTCTGCTAATACTAACTGATAGAATCAAAAAGGGAGAGAACGATCCAACATGGGAAGTGGGATACACAGCAGACTCATAGAATGGCAGGTGTCCTAAATAGCACTCTGGCCTCAGAATCAGCCCTTAAGGCATTCAGATCTGGCTGAAGAGCCCATGAGAGTATTTTAGGCATGGAAAGCCAAGACACTCTGGGGGGGGGGGGGGGAGAAGACCTAAATGAAAGATCTCCACGAGTGAGATCCCAGTAGAAAGAACAGGGCCATCAAAGAAGGAGGTACCTTTCTCTGAAGGGAGGAGAGAACTTCCACTTTGACTATGACCCTGTCGGAATAAGATTGAAGTCAGCGAACCCAAAAGGCTTCCATAGCCTTGGCAACTCATGACTAGAGCCTAGGGAGATTAGTGACGCCATAAACAAGAGTGTCAAATTGTTAAGTCAACAACAGAAGTCACTGTGTACTTACTTCTCATGTGGGATCTGTCCTTAATGTGTTGTCCAATGTGAAGTAATGCTATAACTAGTACTGAAACAGTATTTTTACACTTTGTGTTTTTGTGTGGGTGCAAACTGATGAAATCTTTACTTAATATATACTGAATCGATCTTCTGTATATAAAGAGAATTGAAAATGAATCTTGATGTGTATGGAATGGGAGAGGGAGCAGGAGATGGGAGAGGTGCGACTGGGAGGGAAATTACGGGGGGTGAGCCAATGTAATCCATAAACTGTACTTTGGAAATTTATATTTACTAAATAAAAAAAAAGTGATGGTCTTACCAGTTTAAAAGTATCTGGGAGAGGGTCTGGTGGAGATGTTGGCAGTGACTTTTAGAGATAAAAGGAAGCAGCCAGGCTGGGAGTTGCCTGACAGGATACCATCAGCCTTATAAACATTTTCCCAAACTTGTTGTCATTTTCAGAAGGAAAGCCCCTCCACAGATGAATGATATTAACACAAAAGAAAATAAGTCAACCAGAAATTGTCAATTAAGTGATTATTATTCAGTAAGAAAGAAAAGTTTGGTCCCCTTATGCTTTGAGGATGAACTGAAAAATCCAAATGCCAAGATCATTTGTCCAGCGAAAAGAGAACCTTTTCATATGGTAATATCTATTGTTGTTTAGTAAATATGCTTATTCACAGTCACTTGTAGGAATCCGCCATACGTGAGTGCTCCAGTGACCAGAATCTTTGATAAAGCCTTCTTATTTTTAAGTTTCACATTCCAAGTGTATCAGCACTTAAATTCTTAATGTTCTTTTTAGTATTACCCTCAACACTGGGATTCCTTTGCATCTGTTAGAAATGTTGTTTTTCTTTGTGGAGAAGGCTTTATCAAATTTGCTTGGCTATAATAGAAATACCAAATAAAAATACAAATTACAAAATGACTGGATAATGTGTTAATTTTTCTAACAATTATTTCAGCTGTTTTGATCAGAATATGTATTTGTTTAAGGTTATTTGGGAGCCCACAGCATATGTAGCAAGGTGACCTGGCTTGAAAACTCTCTCATCAGGAGTCAAATAGTTACACCCTTAGTCTGCTCCCCTGAGCTCCACACTATTGTCACAGATAACAGTTTACAACTCCGATACTGGACAGTACATGCTCTTGCCATGACCTTTGACAAGGATGCCATTCAAAGCTAGATTACCAAAGCTTACACCATCCTTCAGAGTCTTCACACTGCCTTCCTTTACACAGGGCTTGCTATTTCTGAGCTGAAGACTGCCGGAGGCGTATCTGATTGGCAGAGCCTAGATCACACCAAGAGAGGCTGACAAAGAGTTTCTGCCGGTACAGGGTGCACTAGTAAAATGGGAAATCCCCTACGATATTGGACAGATCAAAACTATGCCAACATTCCACTGCTGTGGCTAAATAGGAAATATAGGCACCAATAGTAGATTTCAAACTAGGTCTTTGGTCACATTTTTAATAATCACATTGGGGCCGGTACTGTGGTGTAGTGAGCTAAGCCTGTGGTGCTGGCATCCCATATGGGTGCTGGTTTGAGTCCTGGCTGCTCCTCTTCCAATCCAGCCCTCTGCTAATGGCCTGAGAAAGCAGTGGAAGGTGGCCTAAGTGTGTGATCCCTGCATCCACACAGGATATCCAGAGGAAGCTCCTGGCTTCTGGCTTCAGATCAGGCCAGATGAGGCTGTTGCGGCCATTTGGGGAGTGAACCAGAGGATGGAAGACCTCTCTGTCTTTCCCTCTCTCTCTAACTTTGCCTCTCAAGTAAATAAATCTTAAAAAAAAAAAGAAAAAATCACAGGCATTAATTTGTCTTTTATACTAAATATATTCAAGAGCAATGACTAAATTCTTATTTCATTAGTTATATTTTTAAACAAAAAGTTACAATTATTGACTCAAGTTTTCTTTTTTAGGTGACTAAATTTTATTTCTCTATTTTAAAAATGTTTTATTAATATAAAGAAAACAGATTTTTTGTATTTCATAGGTATAGTTTTAAGAAGATAACCATATTTCCTTCCCTCATCTCCTCCCTTCCTCAACCCCTTTCCTTTCTTTTCTGTTTTTTTCTTTAATTTTTGCAAAGACATAATTTTAACTCACTCTATAATCACAGGCTTAATTCACCACTAATCATAATATTCAACAAGTAAAAATTTTCAAGCTAAATACTAATAATATATATGTAGTCTATTTCTTTGGTATTAATCCTTTATAAAGATTTTATTTATTTATTTGAAAAGCAAAGTTACAGAGAGAGATAAACAGAGAGAGAGAGAGAGATCTTCCATTCACTGGCTCACTCCCCAAATGGCCACGATCACTGGAGCTGCATGGATCCGTAGCTAGGAGCCAGGATCTTGTCTCCCATGCAGGCACAGGGGCCCAAAGACTTGGCCCATCTTCCACTGCTTTCCCAGGCCATAGCAGAGAGCTGGATAGGAAGTGGAACAGCCAGAACTCGAACAGGTCCTCATATGGGATGCCGGAACTGCAGGAAGTGGCTTTACCTGCTACACCACAGCGCCAGTCCCGATATGCTTTTTTTTTTTCTGGAGTATCGGAATTAAGAAATGCCAAAACAATGCTCTATCTTACCCACAACTTTATTTTGCAATGACAACACTCCAAATCTTTAAGAACTATACTTATTTCTTCGTATCCTATTTTATTTCAAAAAGAACTTAACAAGGCTGAAAGTTCAGATTTTATCCCTGCCATGTCATAAAGTATTAAGAGGAGAAGGAAGTATACCACATGCAAATACATGCTTTGTTTGCATTTGAATATCATTACTGTTCATGTTAAACTCCTATGTATTTAATATGAATACACTCCTTGACCCAAACGGTAGAGTTAGATACATGCCTGGGGATTCCAGTTCAATCCCATCAAGGTGGCATGTACAAATGCCATCTCACTAGTCAAAGTGATCAATTTCAGTTCACAATTGATCATAATGATAGGTCTAAGAGTCAAAGGGATCACATAAACAAGACTAGTGTCTGCTAATACTAAGTGATAGAATTAAAAAGGAGAGAACCATCCAACATGAGAAGCAGGATACACAGCAGACCCATAGAATGGCAGATGTCCTAAACAGCACTCTGGCTTCAGAGTCAGCCCTTAAGGCATTCGGATCTGGTTAAAAAGCCCATGAGAGTATTTCAGGCATGGAAAGCCAAGACACTCTGGCAAAAAAACCAACCAACCAACCAACCAAACAACAAAACCTAAATGAAAGATCTCTGCGAGTGAGGTCCCAGTGGAAAGAACTGGCCATCAAAGAAGGAGGTACCTTTCTCTGAAGGGAGGAGAGAACTTCCACTTTGACTATGACCTTGTCTAGATGAGATCAGAGTTGGCGAACTCAAAAGGCTTCCATAGCCTTGGCAACTCATGACAGGAGCCTACGGAGATTACTGTGTCAATTGTTAAATCAACAACAGGAGTCACTGTGCACTTACTCTCTATGTAGGATCTCTGTAATTAATGTGCTGTACTATGTGAATTAACGGTATAACTAGTACTCAAACAGTACTTTATACTTTGTGTTTCTGTGTGAGTGCAAACTGTTGAAATCTTTACTTAATATATACTAAATTGATCTTCTGTATATAAAGAGAATTGAAAATGAATCTTGATGTGAATGGGATGGGAGAGGGAGCAGGAAGTTATGGGGGGGAAAAGCCACTGTAATCCAATAGCTGTACTTTGGAAATTTATGTTTATTAAATAAAAGTTTTAAAAAACCAAAAAGCTAAAAAATAAATAAATAAATTAGTTTACACATTCCCTAAGACCAAAATAAATAAATACTCCTATGTAGTCATTGTTGGAATAATGTTCGATTTATTTTTATGTTTAATGTGTATTTCTTGCCTCAATAGACTTATGACTGAGTATTCTTTTTTTAATCCACAGGAAGAAAGTGAAACAAATCCCATCATTTTCCATGACACAAGAAATGTACAAATGTTGCTTTTGACCAAAAATAGACATTCTACTTATCCTTTGAACAATGAAAACACTTATTTACGTAAAAGAACAAACTTTATTTTAGAAAGAAATTGTGATGTTCACAAATCTTTAGTTAGTGGTCAATCTATCACTCTTTGCAAACCCCAGAAAACTACATCTATAGCACGGAGGAATGAGACACGACCCATGCCCTTTGAAGTGGGCCGCAGGATCACAAAGGAGAAAAGTAACAATCAGAAGTTAGAAAATGGATCTTGCAATAGGTCCCCACAGGCTTCTTCCAGCCTCACCAAAAAAATTGTGCATTACCTGGATAAAACTGTTGTTCAAGAAATGAATACTAAAGTTGGCAAATGTGAAAAAATGTTTTACACAGTAAAACGAACGGACACACACAAATTTGGTACCTCACCTTTCACTTGTTTCTCAAAGCCTGTCAAAAATATACTCAAAATACACAAATCAAAGAATATAACACCACTGGATGATTTGTTAAATTTGCCAGATGAAAATTAGTTACCTCACAAAGCACCGTTTGTTCAGCAATCTTGGGGTGAAAAGAAGCAAATAATTGTTTCAAGATTATAGACGAAATTCTTTCTCATTTAGTAATATTTTAATGGATGGTACAAGAAAGGTACAGAAATTGGAATTAACAAATAAAAGTGGTCTGCTCAAGAACAATCAACACTCGTAGTAAATAATACAAAATTAGAAAGTAACTAACAAGAGGAATTAGTTCATTACTTATTTCAGTTATTTAGACTGATCAATCAATAACATTCCTACAATAAATTCTGATTTGGTACTCAAACTGGCATAAACTGACTGGAAATTTACTGTTTAAAGCCAAGTAGTTGATTATCAAGTAAGAAAACCTTACGATTTAATTAATGAACATTGAGTTAATCATATAACTTAATTTTTCATAATCATGGGAAAAAGCATTACGCTAGCAATTTGTGCAATTAAAAATTTTGGAAAATTAGCTTTTTGTGTTAGTAGATGTTGGAACTTCATTATTATGTAATTTTTTCAAGTATAATGTTTTTATGAATCACTCAATAACTTAAATTAATAATGTATTTAGTAACCAAAATAATTTTTATAGCAAATCCTGTATTAACTATTTTAAAGTATATTATTACATTGCTATTTTATTGTTTCTCATTAATTCAAACAATATGAAGGTAAAATTCAAAAAACAAGTTACATTTAAAGCTTATTTATTTATTTGAAAGGCAGAGTCAGAGAAGCAAAAGCAAAGAGAGGGAGGGAGAGAGAGAGAGAGAGAGAACGAGAGAGAGATCCTCCGTCTGCTGGTTCATTCCCCAGATGGCTGCAATGGCTGGAGCTGGGCTGATCTGAAGCCAGGAGCCAGGAACTTCCTCCAAATGTCCCAAATAGGTGCAGGGGCCCAAGGACATGTGCCATGTTCCACTGCTTTCCCAGGCCATAGCAGGGAGTTGGATAGGAAGGGAAGCAGCTGGGACTTGAACCAGTGCCCATGTAGGATGCTGGCACTATAGGCAGCAGCTTTACCAGCTATGTCACAGTGCCAGCTCCACAATACATTTTAAAAGCTAATTTGTAATCCATTTGTTTGGAATTCAGAATGTATTTCACATAAAACTAATCTTGGAAGTGATGAACTGAGATTGACCACAAAAGCCTACTTAACTTACAATTTATTCCATAGAGTTTATCTGAAAATAGTAAAAAGCAATAATTTTATAATTCCAACAATTAAAAGATAAAACTGAGTAAGAAAGTTAGTACTGGAGGAGAAACAGTTTGGATTAGAAGCATTTAAGTTGTTAAGGAAGGACTTTTGAAATTTCATAGGTAAAGAAGTAAAATTGGTTTGGATTCTTCTATTTCTGCTTGAAACTTGAGATTTTCTTTTACTGTGTGCCATCAATGCTATTCATGGGCATCTGTTCACAAAGTATTTGAGCTTTAAGAAGACCTATTCAAAAAACTCTGACAAGCACAGGTTTCTGATAACTATAAGGTCATTCCATTGGACCAGATAAGCATTCCCAGAATGCCAATGGAGAAATTAATTGGGTCATTAAACTGCTAACCTAATGTCAAATAGAATTAATTTAATATCCAGGAAATGCTTTGGTAGATTTTCACACTAGGTCAGTGAGTACTGCAATTATTAACATACACAATCTGGATTAATTCCTTAAGATTGATCCAAATTAGGTTACCTATGTTAATCTATTTAATATACAGCACTATGCACAGGAACTTGAGAAACAAAACTGATATTTAAAAGACTGTAAATTCAGTATTAAGCATGGACACATAGAAGGCCTGGATAGCCACTTGGTTCTTCCTTGATCCTTAAAGCTTCCATGATTAAAAACCCTTATACTCCATGACTCATCATGGTATATAGGCAAGACTCATTATGGTGTAGCAAAGATGACCCAAATTATGGGAAAATATTAGTGAGATGGTGTTTTAATTGCTAAAATGATCTATAACCAATGTCTTGTTTGTCAAACCAATAATCCTGGGAATATAAAACTTCAAGTGGTTCATTTCCATCACCTAACATTATCATTTGAACATTTACAAATGGGTTTCAATCAATTGCCACCTTAGGTGGGATAACTGAGTTTTGTGGTAGTTTGTATGTTTTCTATTTGGGTAGAAGCTTATCTGTGTGGGAAATCCAATGCTACAACAGTAGCTAAGAAGATACAAAATATGCTTCCTGGGGTGCACGTTTGGTCTAGCACTTAAGATACTCAGATCTTATATCAGAATTAATTGAGTTCAAGCTCTGCACCCACTCTCAACTTCAGTTTCCTGCTAATGCAAACCCTCAGAAGTAATGGTCATAGCTCAAGAAGTTGGGTCCCTATTACTCATTTGGGAGAACTGAACTGAATCCCCAACTCAAGGATCCAGTCCCAGCCATCACAGGCATTTGGAGAGTGAATAAAGGATAAGCATCTCAAGGACCTGATGCTCCTTTTTGGTTGGTTGATCAATTCATTCTCTCTCTCTCTCTCTCTCTCACTCTCGTGCTCTCTTGTTCTGTGTTTGTGTGTGTGTCTATGTGTGTCTATCTGTTTATGCTTCTCGGGTAAATAAATAATTTAAAATGCTCTTATATGGAGACACTTCTGGAGAGATATCCGGTGACAGAGGTACTTGTTTCATCAGACAAGTTATAAAACAGATAAATAAGGTATTGCAAATCAATGACATTGAGCAAAACTAATTGAATTGGCTGGGTCACCTTGGCCCAAAGTATTACCAATGGCCTTAATGGCAAGCAGACCCATTTACACTAAGAAACCTGACTGACCCCTTAGGAATTAGCTACTGGAAGGTCTATGCCACTAGCGCTAAATCCTTACCTTCATCTCACTCTTACAAACTCAGATAGGACTCAATATTACAAGACTTCCTGAATTATACCAAAATATATCCTCACCACATGGAAAGCCCTTCATGACAACCAGATCTTTTGTGATTTAAAACATGGATATTGGGTATTTGGGAAATGACACCCCTCAGACGCTAGAAATTCTCACTGTTCACGCTGCAGCAAACCTTCACAGCTAGAGGGTCTTGGGTTTACACCTCTCAACTCACGAGGAACACTCTAGACTCTTGAGGCTGTCTATCCATTGAAGATTTCTAGGTAAAACTGACTAAGAAGATTTCAATTCAGAGGCAGATGACAACTTAGATGTGGACAGCTTTCCCAAGGTCACAGATCAAGACCTCTCCTCAGACATTGTGAAATCTTTGTCCCCTCTTTCCTTTTCCCTACACTTCTGTTTTGTTTATGCCTGGTAAGATAATGTGATAATTATAATTTCACAATGGATAGCTTCTGCAAGGAACTTAACTTGCTGTGTTATATTAAACACGAATCCCTAAATAATCTTGGAGATATTAAAGATTATGTTGTTCACTCTGTAACAAATTTCACTAATACTTTTAGTGCAACTATTCATTCAAATTGTACATATAACCTTTTTGTACAGAATTAAGCTTTTAAATTAACATATTCAGAATCCTTTTTAAAATCTAATAGCATGCAAAACCTATAGTGAAGGTTTTGTAGTTAAAGTATGCCATAAAATGAATATGAAAACCAAAAAGAATAATTCAAAAGTTTGTACACAAACTTATAACCCTAATCCCTTAATTATTGTTAGTCTCCAATTATGTAATGATTCAATAATGGAGCCTTGGATAAATATTATTAGTGCCTCTCTATGGGTGACCCCTAACATATAAGGCATCCCACAGACAACTCTCTGGTATGCTGCTCCAGGATAAAATTTTATCTGTGGAGGATTAAATCAACTGCATTCACTGGCAGCCTCATGCTTCAATAAGTAGAAAATAAGGGGCCAATGTGGATTAGGGATGCTACCAGTTCCACTATCACTTCATAACCAAATGGAACCTGAACATCTCTTAATTTGAACTATAAAATAAAGAGGAATTTTCCTGAAGTTATAAATACCCCTAATTGGGCATCTTTTGGTAGGATACTCTTTCCATATCTTGAGATATTATAAACAATGTTATGATTAGAAGTCTCTTTCCAATGTTAACTACCATAGTACACTCTATTGGAAAGGCTATAGTTACCCTTTGAATTGGTTTAAGTTCTCTTAATAAAGATGTTTTAGATAACAGCATTACTTAGGATGACCTAATCTTCAAATGATTCAGATCATCAAATTGATTAAATAGGTATGCAAAAGTTAACACCTTTTGCTGCCCTTGGATAATTATATCTGGTATGGTAGAAACTCAGCTATAAGAAGTCAAGAAACAAGTTCTATGATTAAAAACAAGTAGATTCTTCTTCCACTATTTACTCATTTTAATTGGCTCGTTTCATAGGAACTCCTTTTTGGGTGTAGACATCAGTCTCTTGATGTTCTCCCCCAATTACTCCTCATAGTAGTTTCCCTGGTGTGCTGTATCCTCTCAGGAACCTTAAGTGCTTGTATGCAGCCCTGACTGTACATGAAATGGTCTCATTCTAATTAGAGCACCCAAACCACAAATAGAACAAAGTCATTCAACTGACTTCTCATTGTGAATTCCAAACTGAGACCAGATAAGTCCATCATGTTGACAGAAAGTGGCATCCATGCCCAAGGTTTTAGTCAATGTCTCAAGATTGAGAGACTGACCAAAATGAGAAATTTTCTTAAGACTGATTTATTTATTTAAAAGGCAGAATTACAGAGAGGTAGCAGAAAAGGCAGAGGCAGAGAGGTCTTCCATCTGATGGTTCACTCCCTAAATTGTCCCAATGGTCAGAGCAGGTGCCTATCTGAAGCCAGGAGCTTCTTCTGGGTCTCCCACACGGGTGCAGGGGCCCAAGGACTTGGGCCATCTTCTACTGCTTTTCCAGGCCATACCAGAGAGCTGGATCAGAAGTGTAGCAGCCAGGACTCAAACAGGTGCCCATATGGGATACAGGCACTGCAGGTGGCAGCTTTACCTGCTACGCCACAGCGCCAGCCCCTCTATCTATTATTATTACCAGATACTTAATTCTATTCATATGATGACTTTAACACTTAATCCTATCTATATGATCACTTTAACACTTAATCCTATCCATATGATCACTTTAACACTCAAGATGGTATTTTTACCACCCAGCTTAAGGGGAATTGGGGCTCATGGCAAGTTTTTAAACTGTACCCTTAGAAGTAAGTCTGTAGGAATGCATGCAGAACTGTACAGCTTTAGAGTTACAAGCTTCATACACTTCACAATTACAATTTTAGGAACATAGTGATTCTTTCC